TTGGGCCTTAAATAAATGAATGTTCAGCCCAAAATAATATAAAAAACGTGAAAATCACTAAAAGTAGCCTAAAGTAACATGAAATATCAGTTTGTTACAAATTGCGATAGAATTGCGAGATTGACTCAAACTGTGTAATTTAGCACAAATGACCTCAATTAAGCTTCTCTTGAACCTGAATGATGTTTATCATGCCTTGATAATCATCCAAGTTTTGATTTGCTTGTTGTATGTTGTTTGCAACCCAGATCTGCTCAATAAGGCCATTTAAAGCTTCACGCATCTTCTTAGCTCTAGCTCGCGTGACTGGACCTCCTTGGGTGTGTAATGGATCACATGACGTGGTAGATATGCTGTCGTCTTGATTCCCATCATATTTCATTGAGGGGGAGCAATTTGTGGATATTGTGCTTAAATCATATATTTTTTATGCTTTAAAGATTGATGTGCATGAATTAAGCGCGAGTTTGTTGATTATGTGCTTTTTGATGAATGACAAAAAGGGGGAGAGAATATGCTGAATTTAATGTCATTTTCTAGAGTATCTTTGTGCTAAGATTTTGGTTAATATTGAAGTATATATGTGCTTTCATTAATTCATTCTCAAAGTGTTTTGTCATCATCAAAAAGGGGGAGATTGTTATACCTATGATTTTGATGATTACAAAACACATTTGGGTGACTAATTGGTTCATTTAAGTGTGTAGTTAAAATGTTAAACGATTGCAAAATAAGTAAACTTGGATTGCACTTAAAAATGGACCAGAAAGGCTTGAATATGTGTAGAGAGCCGGCTCTAAAAAGCAGTAGCCGGCTCTGGTGAAATGGGAGTGCAGAGAGCTGGCTCTGAAAGCTGCAATCGGCTCTACGCGTAAAGATTTAAAGGCACGACGTTTGGCACGCAAGAAGAAAAGATGCAAAATCGGCTCCAACTTTACAGCCGACTGTAAGGGCGCATTTAATGCTCAACGGTCGACTTATTTGAAGAATAATTGGTATTTTTAAAGTCTAAAAACCAAAGCTGACTTTAGTTTTTGCAGCCGACTGTCCAAGAAAGCAGAATGTGCAGCAAACCTACAAAGCTGGCTTTGCGTTTTGCAGCCGGCTCTATGGAGAAAATAGAATGTGCAGATCCCACAAAGCTGGCTGCAGGAATGGTAAGCCAGCTGTATAGAGCCTGCTATACTGACAGTTCTGTAACTCAAACCAGGCGTCCTACAGAGCATTAAATGACCCCCAATGGTTAGTAACGGCTATTTTCGACCATGGGATTATAAATATGGTTGATAACAAACCTAGAACAAGTTTAGAGAGCATTGCATTGAATATCTTTGCCTACCTACATGAGCTTTAACTTGGGTTTTTTTATCTTTGAGAAATCTTTACTTATAATCCTCTTCTTGTTCTATTTGTGAGTGATCTTGGGGGTGTGATTAATCCTTCAAGAATGATCTATAGAGAGGATTCTTGGGGTTTATCTTGTAAAGGGGTGAGATTTGAAAAAAACACCCTTCTTCTTGTAAAAGGATTGAGTGGCTCCTTTAAGCCACCCTTGATTTTCTTAGTGGAGAGTGTGGAGGAAATCCTTGGTGAGTGAAGCCAAGGTAGGGGACTAGGCTCCAAGTGGTTGGACCGAACCTCTATAAAATCATTGAGCAAGCTCTTCTTGTCTACTCTCTTTAATTTTGGTGTTGTGGTTGCAAAAGGAGAGAATTTTTGGAACTCCAATTCACCCCCACTCTTGGAGTACATTGAGTCAACAAGTCCATGGAAATATCAATCCAAGGTTCACCGGGAATAGGTAGTGGATTATAAAAACCATGGGGTTACACTAGGGATTTTGCTTGCCTACATGTGACACATCTACCACAAATCCTCTCAACATCTCTTTTCATGTGTGGCCAAAGAAAGTGTTCCTGCAACATAGCTGAGGTCTTAGCAACTCCAAAATGTCCCATTAACCATTCACTGTGGGATTCCTTAACTAGCAAATCATGCAAAGAACAATTCACCACATAACTTATTTTCCCAAAATAAGAAACCATCATGTCTATAAAACTTACCTGTTGCATTTTTCTCACAAGCTTGAAACTCCTCACAAAAATCTTGGTCTAAAGGATATAATTCTTTAATGTGCTCAAAACCAAGTAATTTTGCATCAAGGGTAGAGATTAGTGCATACCTGCGAGAAAATGCATCAGCAACCACATTCTTCTTACCTTGCTTATACTGGATGACATATGGAAACGTCTCGATGAACTCCATCCATCATGCATGCCTCTTGTTCAACTTGTGTTGACCTTTCAAGTACTTCAATGATTCGTGATCAGTGTGTATCACAAACTTCTTAAGCCAAAGATAATCCTACCATGTTTTTAATGCCTGAACCAATGCATACAACTCCTTGTCATAAGTTGGGGTAGTTTAGAGTTGTGATGGGAACCAAGATGACCCCACATGTACCACGTCAAGAGATCCATTACACATTCCAGGAGGTCTAGTCACGAGAGCTAGAGCTAAGAAGATGCGAGAAGCTTTAAATGGCCTTATTGAGCAGATCTGGGTTGATAACAACATGCAACAAGTAAATCGAAGCTTAGATGATTATCAAGGCATGGTAAACATCATTCAGATTCAAGAGAAGCTTAATTGAGGTCATTTATGCTAAATTAGATAGTTTGCGTCAAAATCTCGCAATTCTGTCGCAATTTATAACAAACTAATCTTTCATGTTACTTTAGGTTACTGTCAATGATTTTTCATGTTCTTTGTATTGTTTTGGGCTGAACATTCATTTACTTGAGGTCCAATTCGTGGTTATTAGGATTAGGGCTTAGGGTGTTAGTTTCCTATTTTGATTAGAATTACTTTTCCCTATTTAAAGGGCTTGTAACCCTAATTGGGGGGAGCTATTGAATCTGAGTTTTTGAGAGACTTTTCTCTTTGGTTCGTTTCAGAACTTTACAGAACTTATCAAGATTATTCTTGTGGTAGTCTAACCTGACTTATCATTCTCGTTCTTAATCGTTCGAGGGTCTGGCATCAACCAACTCTATACCTCTGGTTCTTGTTGCGTCATAGACAACGGGTCAAGGTTTTTACCTTTGGTTCTTGTTGCGACATAAACAACGGGTCAAGGTCCTATTAAAAACCTGATTTAGCTTTCCTAGAGTTTAGAAATCCCTTGTTGTGCTATGGGCCTCATTGTTCTCTTTGGGGTTCTCATCATCTTGGTATCAGAGCATCAGATCCTAAATCAGGTTTGCATATCTTTAATTTTCAGTTTTTATTGTCAAAAAAAAAAAAA